GCTAATGATAATTAATTGGGAATAATAATGATATTAATAATCATTATAACAATAACAACAGAAGATTGAATAGAACTGATTACTGTAGTTTCTCTCACCAAAGAATATTTAATATATATCCCGTATTCCGGCGATAATACTTTATATGCGAATTTATGTTCATAAGAGATTAAAAAAAAATGCTTGTTTGTGAAATGTAAAATATGAAATAGTGAATTAGCTCTAAGTAAAAATGGTGTAAGAAAGAAGATTTTAAAAAGAGGTAAAAATTTGTATAGGAATAAAGAAATAAATAAATAAATATATTTCTCGTATGCGAAGAAATTTTATATAAAATAAATACATGCAAATCTGTATTCGATGTTCCATATTCCAATAAAAAGGATCCATATTACATGCACATTTAGACTGCACCATCACAAGAAAATTACAACACTATACATTGGCCACTAGATCAGATGTACATCTCGTGTCAGATGAGTGACACGACGTTGGAGTATCCCATTCGTCCCTGTACATCAAAAGCATCATCCACACAAAACGAGGAGACGCTGGGATGAGAAAAATTTATGGAACTCGTGTGCTGATAAAGAATTAGTTATCGCCCAAAGGTTCAGAATGGGTGAATGTGTATGCGTGTGTAACAGTTTCGCATCGACGCGCTGTCTGGGATCGAAGTAAAAAAAATCTATCATCGGAGCAGCCTGCCCCTCCCGTTCGAAAGGTGAATCATGGAGAACCCGATAATTATCATCATTATTATTGTAATAAAACGATTGGCTCGATTAAGCGGCATTGCTTTATAGTATGCTTTTACGCGGATGAGTCATCCTGTGGATGTAATATATACGGTGAACACGTTTAAGTAAAATTATTATTATATTTCTTGTTTGCCTTTCACATTTTCGTTCAGTTCGTTTTTTGTTTTTTTTTGTTTTTGTTTTTTTTTTGCTCGTCAGAAGAAAGAGGCGGCATGGAGAGGAGGAAACAAGTTTCTGAGGCCGAACGCGTCTTCCGCTCGCGAGCGTGCTGATTCTATTATTATTGCAAGCGAAGGGGGATGATTCACGAGACTGTAAGTCCATCGAATCAAGCTGTGGGCTATTTATTTTAATTGACCACGATTTGCGGCGAGGACGAGGAAAGGATGAATGTACGTGTATGGTAATACCTGATCCTAATTGGCGAAGGATTATATTGTAGCCCGATGAAGCGCAAAGGACAACGGCTTACGATGGTGATTACTAAAAATCGTGGTTTCACGCACGTGCAAGCCGAGATTCTTCCATGTGTTGGTTTTTATTGAAGGATTTTATTTCAACGGTAGAGTGTCAGATTTCTTACAGTAGTTTTTTTATTTGAAAATAACCAATCAATATTTTTGCTTTGTGACAAATGTGTTTTTAATTCTCACAACTTTCAGTCGTTAAGGTTTTTTTTCTGGCTAACGTGTTCGCTTTTTCGAACTTTTCAACTTTGATTTATGGTCCTCTCCCGCTAAATAAACATAAATGTCGACTATACACTTGTAGTTTGTTTTTAGTTAAATGAATCTGAGAAGTCTGAGTTTATCATTTTTCACAGGTAGGCACAATATTTTTATATATATTTTATTAAAATACTTTCAGCCAAAACAATTCTATGAACTATCAGAGTGTAAAGTATACACAAAAAAATATTTTTAAAAATATTACAATACTTTTTACAAATACATTTACTTTTTTTCTTCTAATTTTTTTGTCTTACAAAATATTATGCATTATTTTAGCTCAAAAGAATTTCGTCAAGTACTGTGTTATGAGTGGTGAGAAAAAAAATTTTGTCCAGCATTTTGATGAATATTTGTGGGTAGTTCTATTTGCAATTAATTATAAAGCAATGATGTTATTTAATAGCGTATATTTAATAATGAAACAACGACATTCGTTATTTATAGCTAGGAAAATGAAATACCAAACCCAGTAGAATCAACGTCTGACTGCGCACGGCTGTTACTACTGTGGGCACGACAATGTATGTGCCTCAGCATGAGAATGTCTGTATCTGACGTTTGTCAAGATAAATTTTTTTTTTCTTTTTCATGAAAAAGATTGTTGCATCAGCAATATATCTACAAATTCGATGATTCTCACAATGCATGCGGAAAAGACAAAAATAACTCTACAAACCACGGTCCTTGATGATAATATTTTTTTTTTGTTCTCGACTCAAACACCATTATAATAACATGCTACGACTATGGTAGATGGAAAAAAATTCATTGACGAATAAAATACTGCAGAATAGCCAAAATTTGAAAATGCAAGAAAGATATATAGCTAAATGAAAGGATTCTGTGAATTTATACGCGAATCATGTGTATGATAACGTTATGTGCGTCACGCAAGTATTTCCTAAAGCATTGTAATAAATATTGCTCAGCCAAGGTCATTTATCAATATTTAAATGTGTATAATTTTTTTTAACTGGCTCCTTCGTGTCTATTATTGTAAAGTGTGGCATTTTTTAAACTCCAAAGTTATGTCCAGCGTGCGTCAATAAAGATTATCACACAGTAGTAACAATCTGATTTTTTACCGTAAAATTTATTGCCAATATTATAAAAATGTTCGGTATGTAGATTAAAAATATATTCTTCATAAACAAATAAACTTATGTTGAATAATGGCACAATCTTACGTGGTAATCTCATAAAATTTATTATTGAGTTATGGAAATTTGTCTAAATGCAGTACAGGTTTTTTCCCCTCACGAACGCAAAAATTTATTTTCTCTAAAAATTTTGTACAAACTATTTTCAGACGTGTCAACGAGGTTGGTGTTACGAAACACTTAGGACTCAAGCTACATCGATGGCATCACCTTTTCTTTCTCGTTTTGCATTCGTAAACGAATCTTAACGTATTACCAATGTGGAAAAAACTACGTAGACAAGCTTAAGATCTAGTGGCCAACGGTAACTCTTGCATCTTTCCTTATAGTTTTTCTGGCGTAACGTTAAATTATCGCTTTGAGAACATCGAAGACGCAGACAGCATATGGGGCATTTTACAAAAACTTAGTTATCCCGTTTCTCAGACTTTTAAAATGTTGCGTTGAATTATTTTACACATCAGAACCTTTTTTAGACATTGTAATTTGAGATTATACTTGAAAAATGCACTGCGTTGACATAAGATGTAAAAAACAAGCTAAAACAACATTTCTGTAATCTAACATAACAATTGAAAATTTTTTTTTGTTCAATTAATTAAAATTTTTAATATGTAAACTAATAGACTCTGATAAATTTTCATTGCATTTAAAATTTTTAAATCGTGGTTTTGTGACCGTTTTTTCATGATTGTAACCCATTATCAATTGAAAAAAAAATGTTTTTAATTAACATGATTTTTTATACAGCATTACAATAAAACTTGCCTTGAAATACTAGTTTAACTGGACTCTACATATCTTAGAAAAATGATGAAAAAACTATTAACACTTAATTTCGAAAATAATCTATATTTTAGCTCAAAAATTCAGAAGCTCAAAGATGACAGTAGAACTTCTAAATAACTTTTATATTGACTTCAAGGCCTCTTAGATTGAAAAAGCATTTTGTTCAATGATTGACAGCTTCGATTTGCAAAATTTAAATAATACCACAATACAGAAAATCATCACAGAATACGAGTGTATTTTTATAATTTGTTCTTAATATATTTATGAGAATATTTTTTAAATTAGTTCAATGATACTTTAAAGTACTTTTTTAACAAAACGTTTGTATCACTAGATATTTTGGGGATATCAGTAGTCATTTTTACAGTAGTAGTCAAGTGATTGATTTTTTAAAATTTTTATTGAGCGACACATATATTATATTTATATAGTGTGAATGATTTTTTAGTCCACTCACTCTTAAATTATATAATTACAATAATTCTAATTATTTACATAACATTGTGAGAAAAAAAACAGTTTTCAAGAACTACTGTACAGGAATTTATATTTGAATTTTTCTTTTAAAATTCAACTAAAGATTCAACTTTTCTGCAGTATGCATCCATTCATTAAAAAATTAACAACAATCAACAATCACGCCTGATTCACAAAAATATAAAGAAAAAGATCTTATCGCGATTTTAACTATGAATGAAACTTTTTATGTGTTTATTTAATTTATTAGAAATCGAAGTTTGCAAACAAATGCCTCCATTGTTACGCATCGATTATCGTAAAAAAAAAAAAAAAAAAAAAAATCAGTAGTAACAGCCAGAGTATAATGAGTCTTTTTTTCAATCAAAAATTTTTTCATTTCCGAACAAAATCTCCAGTGTATAATAATGACGCACACCAATTGCCAATCGAACGGCGCTGCAACAAAAGCTTTTGTCAAGCATCACTTGGACCCGTTAACTCCGAATCCTATGACGTGCTCTTCTCTCCCAACAAAATACGAAACTTCGTCTCCCCTTCTTCTTGGACATCGACTTATCCCAAGCGATGCCTATAGACGAGCACCATCCACTTATTAATAGCACATTTAGCCCGACGGAATCCCTGAAGCGAAATCGAAGTTTCCTTAATCCCATGACCTACACATCTAGTTCCGTAAGAGTATAGGCCATCAGGACAACAGAAAGAGAAAAATAACGCATACACACGCAAATTCAAATCAAGAGAAGAATGAACCTCGAAACCACTGAGAAATTGATCGTCGAGTGGGGAAAAAAATAAAATAAAACTAAAGAAAGGATGAGAAGCCGGCCGGTCGAGCCAGTCAGCGAGGCGGCGGGACTCTCTCTCTCTCTCTCTCTCTCTTTCGCTCGAGCCGCGGGTGGGATAACGTATAAATCGATCGGATGAGTGGAGAGTAGGCAACAGTTGCTGGAAATCACCGATCGGCAACAGTCTTTTAATTTTACACATATACTGACATTGGTTACCGCGAGTGCTACTTTTCGTACGGACAACACTGTCCTGTGGTGCCTTCACTTTTAAGCCGAGAAAAAACAATGAAACTCAAGGGGTCAGCCGAGTGTGAGCAAAGAAAGAAGGAGAGCCGAAAGACAAGGACACCGGTCATCGTGCTCGTGGCCGTGGTGCTGATCGCTGCTATGGCGCCGTGCTGTCTGGCATGTCGCGGAAAGAACCTGATGCGTGAGTACTACGTAGACACTTTTTTCTGTATTTTTGGGCTTTCTCTTTTTCGAATCGCTCGTTTATGGCCAAGTGATGCTTATCTCTCTCGTGTGAATATTATGCGAAGGCGTCTTTCTCCGGGATCGATGGTTTGGCCCAAATACAAACAACTGTTATAGCGTGGGAATTTGGCCAAGGTTCAGATATCGTTAATTTATACTTAATCACTTACAAACGTCTCTTTTTAATGTATCGAGTTTTTCCCAACTTTTTAGATTTTTATCACTAGTAGTAACAGCCGAATCGAGTAAGCCATTTTCGAATCCAAAAGTCACGTACAATACGTGTATAACTCGGACAGTCTTACTAAACTCACCTGTTTGTACTTGGAAAAAAAAGAATTTATTCCCTGTTACATTTCAATTTTAACTTGAATCGTATGGATAATCTTCTTGAGTTGAAATGATATCTCAAATCTATCTTAAACCTTACCGTTCAGTTGATTTAAAAAATAAAGTATGAATAAAATAACACTGCGATTAGCCATAAGCACGTTTTAGGGATCAGTATCAAAGATCGCAAACGTATAGGAAAAAAAATGCAACGTAATCGTATCCTTTTTTTCTCTTCCACTCTTGTTTGAGAGTAAAAAAAGTGCCAAAAGCAACAATAAACCAAACGCCCAGGATCTCGAGTTAAAGCGTACTATACTATTTTGCTTTGCGTGAAAATATGTGTCTGTGTATATGTACGTTCAACCATTGCCGTCACCACGTAAGTATGATTGGAAACGTCACTTTTCCGTGAACGAGAAAAAAAACGAGATGTAGACCGGAAAACAGGAGGGCACGGCCAAGTTGCGCGCTTTTTCGAATCATCACCGTTGCGTGGGAAAACCTCACGACATAAAAAAGCAAATTTTTCGCTGCTGTTGTTATTTATCATTATATTACCTCCTAATTTACGTTTGTTCTCAAAGCTGTAATCAACTCCTTTTGGTTTTAACGGGCGTGAGAAGTTGGGCTTTTTCGGCACTCCTTTGACCTGCCAAAGCTAGTGAATGCGAAAAACAGCCCAACGCAAAATTCTCACAGGGAAACCGCATGAAACGCTTTGCCCTTTTGTTCTTGCGGTTTCACGGTGCGCGCCTAGATTGCCAGCGGAAAATCGTCTGTGTTTTACAGTGCATGTGTTTTTGTTTGTTACAGTGAGGGCCAATTGGGCCATTTGAAACGATTTGAATATTCAAAGCTTTTGAAATAAAATTATGAAAAAAAAAACTTAAAATCATTTAAACGTATTAAATTTACATTAATATTAATATATTTTAATAAAACAATTATATAACTACAGTTCGTTATAATATTATCAACTTCAGATATTTAAGAATAAAATGTCATTTAGGCAATACAATTTACTGTTTGCAAAATACGTAAGATAGTATTGTTCATCAAAAGTAAAGGGTAACTAAAATAATATCATAGATTTGTTTGTCATGCGTTGGTAATTATAGTGTCTTGTACTCAAAACCACTCGATATAATTTAAAGAAAATGTACGAAATTTAAGAGCAACATGAAAATGTACATGTTTACCTAATTGAGATCTGTCATGGTGTCAGACTAACATTTGAAAAGTTAACTATTAAGTTTGATTACAAGTGTTTTAAAAAACGTGAAAATAACATATCAATGGAACGTACACGTAGTAGTTAAAATGGACTCACGAGAGTTTACAAGAAGAGTCCATTAAAGTAATAAAAAAATATTTCTCACCCAAGCTGTGCTATCAGAGGAACACGCCTAAACTTCCATTTAATATACCTACACATAGAACCCATAGAAAAAAAATCTGATGCTTTATTAAGACCGTGACATGCAGAGAAACGACACGCAAAATAAGCTGATTATCAAAATCCCCAAGACTTTCCTTTGTATGGCTGACTTGTCATGCTGTAATCATTTTCCGTGCATTGCGTAACACATGACACGTGATCGCCAAAAAATAAGGACTCCCGTGCATAACGTGAACCAAATCCTCCAAGCAGCTTTTGTTCAACATAAGAGCAACTCATCCTGACGATGACGAAACGATACGGCCAATCCTTTTTTTCTATTGTTACGCAGCCAAGAGTGTGTGTTTGAGGTCGAGAAGGTAGTTTTTTCTGATTGTCAGATTATTGAAATATTATTAAAATTTTTTATATATTTACTAAAATATCAATTTACTTAAAAGAAAAAGAAATACATAAATAACTACTAGAACGATTAGACTTCTTTGAGGATGAAAGAAATAATACGCAAGAAGTAACTGTGTATTTTATGTTACGTATTTTTGAGAATAAAAAACAATATGATACGTAAAAATAAATTAAAAAATTTTTGGGCTATCATAAAATAAAGAACTATTATAGAACGTGTCACTCGATGGCAGTATTTAAATTAACAATTCTCTAGCAAAGAGGAATAAATAAAATTTAATAACATACATAGTTTAGTACAACATAATATAGTAATAGTACGTAGTAACAACAGTTTTTATTTTTTTACAGACATACAAATGAAATACTAATCGACGTAGCATTTACAACTTATACTGTGAATTACACTTTGTAATGTGTACATTATTCTTTTGAGAGCATAGATTAAGTAAATAACGTGAATGAATTTTAAGATTTAAAGCTATAATACAACAGTAATCCTAAAAAAAATTATCTATTAACTAAAGTGTAAGGTACGGTATCAATATATCAAATATCATAACTACATTTGAAAATTAAATTCACTTCCAAACTCGGTCAGCAAAAAAATTAAAGTTTTAACTGCAAAAGAACCATATATAAGCTTCTTCGTATATATTGAAGTTACTTTTGATCAATTAATTACTAAAAGATCCTTAACAAAAAAAAAAAAAAAAAAAATAAATACATTGCGAATTTTCAAAAGCATAAAGATGGTAGGATGGAAACTAAACTTAACTGTACGATGAAAAATTTTAACTTTCAAAAATAATATTAATACAACTTTAACCAAGCTATGTGCCAGATTTATGTGAAAGCAAAAGTATTAATTACATAATGCAAAAATGAAGCATCAAAGCCCCGAAAAATGCCCTGAGATCACGCCTAAAAATAGAACGACGGCGACGATGATGGCGAGGACGATGAAACTGTTCATAAATCGATGCTGCATCGATCAGCAGCAGTAATATCAAACCTGCACTGAAGTGGTTAATCGATTCCCTGTGACTAAGTCTCGAAAGAGGAGCCGAAAAATTTATTACCCACATAAAGTATCTCAGCCAGAGTCGCGAGACCACTCGATTTCTCGATTTTTACTCGTCACCGCAGCAATACAACCACGCACGCATCCGTTATCTAAAATTATTATTTTACGTTTAATGAAGTGTTATCTCTTTTATAATGGCTGACAAATTTTTTCCTGCCTACTTTAATTATTTGCATTCTAAATTCCATGGATGGCCCTACTTTTTCAAAATTCCCGATTTAATTAAATCGAAAGAAGGAGAAAAGTTCAATTTACGAGCATCCCATTACTAATCCTCCCCCACTTTTCAATCCCTGATCACCTATGATGTCACGTCAGTATGAGTAAAAATGCCACATGGGTATTAACGATGTTATTACATAAAAAAAAAAAAAAAAAAATTATTTGCCGACTACTTTGATGTCTTCTTTTTATATACATGTCTACACCGATGACTTTGTTAATTTAGATGATTTTAGCAATTCAAACAATACTTAAGAATACAATATTAACTATGTACATTCATATATAGATTCATAGCATCACGGCTCACCAACATTGACCAATTTGGTGCGCCATTCCCGTGATTAACTGAATAACATACCGGTTTAAAAAAAAAGAAACGATATCACCTATAAATTTATAACTATGTAGTTTTACGATTTCCTTTATTTTTTCTTCCATTTACTCATCACCATGAGGATGGACAGTGAGAATAATAAATAGTATATAAATTAATAGAGATCATAAATTGTGACGCACTCAATCGACACTATTGTTATAGTTGTAAATACTGATGAGTACATGATTTTTTTGGTCGGCAGGAACGGGAGTATCATGCCAGGACAGAAGGACAATCCTCGATGAGCACAATCGCCTTCGGCAACTCGTCGCTTTGGGTCAAATTCGGGGACAACCGTCCGCGAAGATGATGATGGAGATGGTACGAAGACATTTCAAGTATCGCTCACACAATTACTTTATAGATTTTTAACCACTTTGGAATAAAATTTTTTCTAAAAATGTAATGCAATATTTATGTTGGAAAAAGTTTGTTTTCCTTACTATAAGTAAAAGTTCGTGCAAAATGATTTGAAACAATTGAGCTCATGTTAAAGAAAATTTTCAAATACTTCATTATGTTCATTTTTGTTCTCGTTCGAAATATGAACGCGAATATTTTTCTGGAAAAATATTATTAATAAATATCAAATTACATCAGTAGAAAAAAATTGAGATGCAAAGCATTCGAAAAACTACCTACATCTGCTTTTTTTAACATCACCTAGCGATACCAGCATACTTTTTTCCCTACAATCTACTTACAATCTGATACACTATCAGTCATGCAATCTCACAATCATCGTGACGAAGCAAATTCACCAATCCGAAATTAGCGACGACCCATAAGCACCTTTTCCACCTCGTAAAGTCAAGATTGACTCGTAGAGGGTATACATGTATCTCACACGTAACGACAAAGTGGGCACTACCTCTTGCACGCTTCATGTGAATCAGCTTCTCCTCTCTCCATCCACGATGTATATATTTCTCTCGGGACGAAAGACGCTTATGTGGCTTTCGAGATTAACGGACACGTTTCGCTATAACTTTTCGCAGGTCTGGGACGACGAGTTGGCTGCGAGAGCGCAACAGTGGGCCTCCATCTGTGCCGAGGACCACGACCATTCCCGTAATGTCAGTAAGTGATATTTTTGATGATTATGTCATTGATGTTTGTACTTGATACTTGTGACTGGTTTTTCATCATGGTCACTCATTTTGAGGATCTTGTTAAAATGGCATATTACATTGATCATTTTTTTTCTTTTTTTTTATAAAACAAAAACAGTAAAACATTAATAAGAGAACTGTCCTACTTAAGAGAAATCTATGCCTCTCCTCGAGTTTTATGGAATCCGACCGGGTTTAAACTAGTCGGAGAGCTCCTCCCAATGCGAAATTAGTGCCTCGTTTTTGCTGCAGTGGGCAAAAATGTCATCGAAAACTGCAAGCTCCCCATTCCCAATACCGTATACTTGTAAAAAAAGAGAAATTTAAATGCGATTACCATATTCATAGATCCGGAGGTATCGTTCTTCAAGAGTTCTCACGTTTGTCAGCCTATTACTTCGCCACTTTTTCGATTTCTCAAAAAAACTATACAATCCATATCCTCGTGATGTCATGCATTTTTAACGAATCGATTTATAAAAATTGTGCATTTAACCAAAGCCCAAGTCTTTACTTTAAATGTAAAATCATAACTTGAATAAATCAATAAATATTACAAGTATACATATACTCATTTACCCTACAAAATTTTTGCATAACCCGTACAAAGTTAATCATTACATTATAGTCTACAATAACGTGCCCCTGATGATTCTAAAATTATGAGCCCATCCTCCCTGACATCGACCACATAGTATGTAACGTTCTCTCCACGAAAGATCAGTCTGATGTATCTAACTCCCCCTGTTTCACTCTGATTAAAGGACGATTCCAAGTGGGCCAAAATTTAGCTCGTACCTGGACGACCCGTACACCGGCCAACTATTATGACACCGAGCCGGAGTGGAGGGTTAAGATCCAGGACTGGTTCAACGAGGTGCAGTACTACAGGGCAGGCTTCAGTCCCATTACTGCTCATTACACGCAGGTACGATTTTCGATGGCTAATTTTTTTTTTTTTTTTTAAGAGGGGAAACAAAATATTTCTAATAAAGTGAACAATATTAATTATTAAAAAAATTATTTTTTGTTCTTAATTGCTTACAGGTTGTCTGGGGTGATACGTTCTTGGTTGGGTGTGGCTACTCGTACTACTACGATCCCCGAAATGGTTACACGAAGAATTACGTTTGCAATTACGGACCGAGGTGAGCCACGAGTTTGTTTTGTTTTCTCAAAAGACTTGTGAAATCTTTAAAAGTTATTAAAAGTCATTTGAGAGCCATCCGATAACTTTACAGCTATTTGAAGTCGATCAATAATTTGTGCAGTCAATAGAACGAAAACACACAAAAAATTGAAACGCGAAACAAAAAAAAACAAAAACAGTACATGTTTTACAAAATGTGATCTTGATTCGATTTTCAGTGGTAACATCCTCGGTAACGAGCCCTACTCGTTCGGCTGGCCAGAATGCAACCAATACGGTGTCAGCTACTCCAACAAGTATTCCGGCTTGTGCGAATGTAAGTGGACAAATCCATTCACTCCTACTTCTTTCGCTCGGAGTTTGCGTATTTACTTTTCTCTGTTTTGATTTTCAGCGCGAAACTCGTACTATCCTCTTGGTTATTATTGTTCTTACGGCTAAATTTCCAGGGGATCCAGTCGGTCTGGTGGTAAAAGATGAAAACCTGCCGCACAAAGAGATGGAAGAGACAATAGTTGAGGAAAGTAATGATTGAAGCTAAAGTATAAAATACACCGGTAAATACGTTGCAAAAATGAAATTTCATTGGATCAACAAGTGCATTGGTTACATTTTACATGAAGTACTGGGAAAGATTTATAATGACACCACTACGTATGTAGATAAAATTACATTTTTTCTAGAAAATATCATATCAAAAAGATTTTTGACTTGATAAATTTGAATGAGTTGTTTTGTAAACGTGTGATTTTCAGTTCAGTTTCAACTTTGAAAACAATGTATTTGAAAGATTTATCGTCTATGTATTACAATATTGTTTGCAAACTGTAGTTACAAGCTTCAAAAAAATGTGTTCTATTCGAAATGTTTGGAAACACTATAGGATGACAAAAAAAGTGAGAAAATTTCTAGTCCAGTATTCATTAGATTTTTAATGCGGCACAGATGTACATTTTTAGAGATAATTTAGGCTAATCCTTGATAAGATTGTTATAATAATTAGAACTTAAATTTGAGATGAAATTTCTCGTGAGTGTAATAATAGTATACTTACTTACACAATATAAGGAAACCGTTTTTAATTTTTTTTATAAATTTGTCGGTACAATTATCATTAAGTGTGTGTGCTTTATCGAAAGAGAGTATAAAAATTTAGTTAATGTATCGTTTTATACTTCCTTGTTATTAAAATGCAAACAATGCCATTGCGTTAACTTTAAGATAATGATAAAATGTAAGACTATATTTTTTGATAGTACTTAAAATATTATAGGTACACTGTCATGAGTTATTAAACACAACAATTTAAAAGTAAAGTATATTTTTCATTTTCTATTTATCTCAATATGAAAAATTGTAAAGTAGCTAACATAACTATGACTCATTAACAAAGAATAATGAGTTCTCAATCTTACAAAAAAAAATCATTTGTATTTTATTATGATTCATATGTCAACTAATTACTTTGGTACAATCTACAGTGCAGTAAAAATAATTTATCCAACCATAATTCTAAATTTAGTTCAATTGAACCATCCATTCTAGATGCTTAATGAACGATCGGCATCGTCATCTAGAAGTCATGGGTATAAGTAGCTCAAAAGACTTTAGACGTATAAGATACAGTTAGATGATACAATACAATGTGACGGCAAAAAATGTATAATGCTCTGATCATTGAAATAAAATTTTTATACGTAGATTTTATAGTATTTATTTATCATATTGCAATGATTATAATGTATTTAAACTATCGTATTATAAAATTTAAAAAATCGCCAAGTATAAAGTGAAAATTTCGCAAACTTGGCAAACAAACGTGTGAACAATATACCTCGTGCCCTCGAGGTACGTAGCAATGTACGGAAACGGAAATTCTCTTCAAACATAAATACACATCCCATACTTGTGCAATGTTTGTCGAGTTTAACGCCAGCGTTTCCCTGGAATGCATTTGATTAACCCAAAGTCTGTATATACTCTTGTATGGGTAACAAGTATATTACGTATACGTAAACCTACGCATCAGCAATGAAATCATTGAAAGCTGCATCTAAATAGGTACTATTTAAATACCATTGTAGCTCAGCGTTTTTTTTTTTTTTTTTTTTTTCGTACAAAATTATGTACTTTACTTTTAGAACGCAATAAATATAAAAGATAGTACATTTTTTAAGACCAATAATTTTACCATATATCGATGATGTACAAAACTCATTAGATTCTTATAGATTTAATCGACTATAAAATAAATTTATAAATAACATTATTACTTTAAAAAAAAATAGTCGAATGCACAACAATACGAAAAATTCTAACTACATACTAGGACAATCAACCATTGAAGTTGACAAAATTGACTCCATTCGGCAGAAATCATCGTTTCAAACAGAACACTTAACAGTACATGCAGTGCGTCAGCTTCACGCGTACTGTGAAGTTAAATTTTTTTTTTTATAATTCCGCTCTCTCTCTTTCTCTCTCTCTCTCTCTCTCTCTCTCTCTCTCTCTCTCTCTCTCTCTCTCTCTCTGTCTGTTACACGTGCTCGTAACTACTAACGATCCAATAAACGTGTTCCTCCCCACCGGTGATTTACCAAGTTTTGCTCTCTTTCAAACTTCCCCCATGTTAACAGCCACCACCTTCCGGTCTGTTTTTCTTTTGTTACTTGTTTTGCTCCCTTTCTCGACTTGGCAAACCTACTCACGTGCATGCCATGAGACCCTTCCACCTTGGAGGACATCTTCACGCATTGTAATTAGCCGGTGTGATGGCAAACTTCTTTATCCCGTACTTAGATGGATTAAACGTAGACTCTTTCCAATGGCAAGAGGGTAAAGTATACTTGACTTTAGGAATAGAAAAAAAACAGCATTTGACGAATAGCCATTGGATAGTACTTTAGCTTACGTATTCGCTTCAACTGCGTGTATGAAATTTTCTGAGTTTCAAAAAATTGTATACGATCCAAAATGTCCAATTAATCATTACTTACATAATTTACAATTGTACAATACTTACATAACAATGATTGGCGAAGACATTTTTATGGCAATAAGAAAAAAAATAAATTGTAAAATGTAGTTTAATAAACGGTACGCTAATAAAAATTTCTCATATTTTAGCTAAGAAGATGAGTAATCGGATGTATTTGAGCACAACATTTAATAAACTGCATAATTGATTGAAATAATCGAGGATGATAAAATATATGCGTGGATTTAAGGGTAACATCCGAATCAAATAAATATTTATGTATATACAATAAGTAATTTTTCTCACTCACTACTTCATTGTTACACTTTGAACTTTCTGGGCTTCTCCCTTCGACAATGCGAACTGTTTTGGACTGTCCGTATTCTTTATTAGTTGAAGATTTTTGTGTGCTAATATAATTTTTGAGACAAATCCTTTTTTAATCATAAGTTGTGTGTTGGATGCTCAATAAGATTTTCTAAGAATTAAATACGAAAGTACTTATAATTATTTCAATTTTAGCATAGAAAAATACCAAGAGCAAGTACTTCATTCTTAAGTATACTTTATCATGTCACATTCATGTCACATTTATCTTCATGAAAGTTCCTAATGCAACTCCCAAGTGCAACAATTTCTTGGATTCCAGCTGCACAACCTAGAGAATCATCGAGAACAGAAGGAGGAGAACCTATAAGGAAATTCCAGTGTGCATAGTTTCCGAAGCAAGTCAGGAACTAAGTATTTCCCGAATTTAATACCCGGGGCGTTGGTGATCTTGTAGACCACGCAATATATTTATACATTGTAGTTCTAGACTATAAAAGCTTCCTTGAAAATTCTTTTTTTTTTTGCTTCATCAATATAAACATCAACAGACAATTTTTTCATTGGTTACAAGTTGATGCGAAAAATTTGATTGAGAAATTCCACAACTTTTGTTTAGTTTAAACTAATTATATTAGTCTTTTATTTAATAAACATAATTAGACTTTTTTTTCGTCTATTTTTAAGTCATGGCTTTCTAGACTACCAAGGAGGTAAACATTTCTAGAAATGTTTTAAAATTTGAAAATTAGAAAGGGTTTTATCTTATTAAAGAAACTTTAGTACAGTTTATTTAAAAAATAATTAACTCGAATGAAAATCTAAAAACTTTTCAATACAAACTTTAAATAAAATTTATTCAAATATTTTATAGTAATGTCCAAGTAAAAAAATCAGGTCATCAAGTCTGTATTTAAAACAATATCGTACGACTATTACATTTTTGTTTTCATTATAATGAATATTATATGTTATTATTGATAAAGAAAACAAAAAGTCTTAGAAATAAGAAAGAGTTGATGAAATTTATGGTCATTCCTTGGCTTAGAATTATTCGGTATATCTATTGACGTTGCTGTAGTTACCAAATAATTCGAGCAGTAGTCTGAACCAAGAATTTTCATTTAAGGATAAAAAAGGTTAGACAATTTAAAAATACATGTAATTTAATAATCATAAATATATTTTATTGATGAAATGTGAAAATGAACCATATTTTCTGAGCTGCTTCAATAAATTCATAAATTTTCAATCAATTCACAACATACTTAACAATAACAATTGCCATCCTGTGACATGTAGTATATAACTTGAATTTCATGTTAGCTGGATCTTGTTCATTGAAGAAATTTATTTTGTAAAATTTTTACAGTCTTTTCATCAACAAAAAGACGGTATTGGTAAAACTGGATTTCTTATTTAAGTTCAAACAAAAATCAGGTAGATCTTTACATTTGACGATCCCAAACTAAAATCTCTTGTTTTCCTGTTTTTACAAAGAAAAAGTGAATAAAACGAAAGATACATCGCAGCATAGCTCCAACTTTAGTTTTAAAATAAAGAACAATAACAGACAACTACGTCTGACAATAGCTTTTATTTTTCTATACAGCATTGGTCGCGACCTTGTATCGGTGAAATCGATAACGCGTGACAATATATTTAATATAATATCTATACCCCGTGCGTATACCAACGTCATATGCAACATTACTCGATCACTGATCGCATGATACGTAATAATGACCCATCGCTCCTCACTAATACTTTTTGCAATATTATGATTATCAAAACGGAAAGAAATTGATAATTTTTTCTTCTTTTTTAAACATTATTTTTTCGTACTCGCATACAACGTTTTGCAGTTGATTTTAATAAATCTTGTTTTTAATGACTGAAATGGAGTTTGAGAAGTTGAACTTTCATTTGAAGTGAACTCTGATCCCTCCTGTTAATTTTTCGTAGTGATTTCATCAAAAGGAAAAACCTAACTTCTCGAAAAGACGCTTAATCGCAATATGATTTCTTGCATACAGTGAAAAACGTGTACCAACTGTTTAAAATTCAGAAAATAAAATTGCACAACCGATGGTATAGGTTTTATAAGAGAGAAAAGAACCAGCTTTGCAATCAGGCGTGTGAAAATATTATGCAATCAGAACACGCGCCCATCAACATTATACTATATTTATTCAACATACATGTACAAGATAAAAACATCGTCCCCGACAAACAATAAGTTTCTTTCTTTGATTTTTAAAATTTTTTTATAATCTTCTACATCTCTTTGGTCGCAAAGCGTCCGTCTATGTCACAACTAAAATGTGCGCTTTTTCCAGCTCATTTTCTTAATAACAATTATTAGTTCTCTTACATACAGACTCACGCTTTATGATGTGATTTTAATAATTCTCGCATTATACATATGTACAAATGGGGAGGTAACGAGTTTATATTTATTTTTTCTTCAATAGTTATAAATATACGTATATTTTATCTATCTAACTATCTATGTATAAAGAGATGGCGAGTCTTCATTAAATTTGTATGTATGAATTTATCTCTTCTATTTTTCGTATTTTTTTTTTTTAACATAAAAATTACGACGGATGAGATGTGCGCGATCGGCGTAGGTATACGTAACCTCATGCGCACGCAATTGGCTACATTATTTTATACAAATAGATCGTATTACTCGATCGAGGACGATTTCTTTTTCACAGTTTCAAGAGGTTATCCCAAATTTTTCTTCTGGTATTATCGCGAACAAAAATTGTTCAACGATGCCTTGTTGACACGTATCTTTCCCTCGATTGGACAATCACGACATAACCAACAAATAACACACCTCAGCCGTGAAGTAGACAGTATCGTACGATAATACATGAATGTTTGTTTTATTTATTAGCTTTCTTTTTTTTTTTTATTGTTTTTTTCGCATTTTTTTCCTCATTTATTGTATAGCCAACAATGGGATTCCCACACTGCCTTTTTGTACACATGATTAGGAGTCGCTTGGTCGGTCGTCCTTGCGAAAAAACCACCAGCTGCTTCGCTGTTATGGTTTTTGAACTGATTGGACTGAGAACCTGGGCAAGTAGAGACCGAACTTACTCTCGATGCCTGCGAATATCGGCAGGGCAACTTGGTAGCCGCCTATGTGGTCCGGATTCGTCGAGCGCATCTCATCGGCCACACCCGTGGCTGGTACCTTGTTTTCTGAGCCGGCCGGTCGTCTAGTGCGGAAGGAGAGAGTTGCGTTATGCGAGATAATTTTTTTTTTTTTTTTACGTTCTAACAAGTTACAACGAGTTTAATACTCACGATCCTCCAAAATCGACGAAGAACAGCCTTTGCAGCAGCTCGTAGCTGAATAACGTGACACCAAATTGCGGTGACGATCTAAATACTCGAGCTATGCAAAATGAAAGGTAAATTAATGTCCATTCCATTGCAATCCTGGATCCGATTCTCTCATATTTTTATATTAAAATCATGTGGGGATCCAGAATAGTTAACAAACTCTGCAAAAGCTATACAAACATCAACATTGTGTTGAGACCAAGATAAAATGGTCTTTCTGTGGCGAAACACAATCAACCTCGAGCAGGACATATTTATGCTTTTATCCTTAAATATTTCGATCGTAAATTCAACTCAACAAACTTATGCGTCTTAAGTGAAACGAAAAAATGCGATGTTATCATAACCATGAGATGGAAACACAACTCAGAAAAAAAACTGCCTGCCTGCCAATTACTTACTGATCAAAAAGGGGTCACCAGGTCATTTTAAGATATATTGTTGGACCGGCAAACTCTCGTGAACAACCAAATCCAGGTTTACAATAAATTATATTTAATTATTTTATAATACATATAAAAAAAAATTATTCAATATTGGGCTAAAAACTTTTGATTCCGAATAATGTAGTTCAGACACCAGAGAATTGTGGGTGAAGTTTTAAAATATAAATGAGTTTTTTTGTTGATTCTTAGGTTTTTTTTTGCCGTAAAATCTAATATTGGACGTACACTAACGTAAGTCTTTTTGATAAATTCTGTTAAAAAATTATTCGTAAGTGATTTTTTTTTTTACTTTTTGCTGTGTATTTTTTCTGCTAAGCATTCTTTGTTGAAAAAAAAAAAAAAGTTCAATTTCGACCGATCTTACGTGATTTTATATACGTCTACCTTTTTCTACGAAACATAAATTTCTCTGCAAATTAATTTTATTTTTAGACAACATGTTCTTACACTTTTCAATATTTCTGCTTTTCATAAAAATATATTTTTGTTCATTTACTCTTGGGTCAACAAAGACACATCCTAAAAAAAATTTTAAGTACCATGTAATGACTTTCATGTAATAACGTGGCAAAAGTGGCATTTTTTTGATGCAACAGCAAAAAATGAAAAAATAGATTTTTTAAAACAAATTTTTAGTTGCTTAAAACAAGGATTTTTAGTTAACATATCCCCGTTGATATAATTCTACAGTAAAAAATATGTAGGAATCAACAAAAAATTCCCTTACAAGTCAATACTTTATTTTTGTTACCTTCATTTTACCCTAGCACCTCACTAATAGTATAATAAAAAATATTAATTTTTTTAAAGAATCATAATTTCAAGTGAGAGACTAAGTGATAAGTAATTAATTTAGATATTCATTCACTTCATTTTGAAATCCTAAAGGGTGCATCGACTTAAAATCACATTGAGTGAAGGAAGACCACAATTCAAAGCATTTGTAATTAGTCAATGTTAGTGTTAGTGGGGTAGAGTTGTAACTAGCCCCTGATTATGCCAATTGTAAGTCTATATAAGTAATCAACCCAACCATCGTAGAATTTTAATCTTATTGTCAAAATTATGGCTCTTATAAGTTAAATTCAACACCGTAAGTAGGTAGTAGGTATTTGAACGAAGCAAAAATTAACGAAATAAGCTTTTTTTTAAATAGAAAAAAATTCGAGAGCAAAAGTAGTAAAAATCCAAAAAATACTGAAAAAATAAGGTACTCTTATGATTTCAAAAAACATTACAAAAGCCCAAGCTGCAAAATTGAATAATAACTAGATCGATGCTTTAGGATTTTACAGAAGATAATGACGATAATAAAATTGCTACCTGTCGCTCCCTTCCAAAATGCTCTTGCTCCCTCCTCCTTGTAAATTTTTCGTGCACAATCAACCAATCCGTTGTACGTCGTTTGGCCCTCTCTCGCGACGACCTAGTGTTACATTAATTTCTCAATTCGTTGAATTCAAAATGAGATATTATATGCATCTAAAAATTATGAAATAACGAATCGATATCCAACCTGCAATCTCGTTTTTATGACGTCAGCCGGGGTCACCAAACCGGCGGCCGGGACGCCGGCAATGGCACCGGCGCAGAGGAGCGACAGTGGAGTGTTGTATCCACCCTCGTCAGCAAATTTCGTTTTTATATGCGCGTAAAAGGGGAAGTAGATGGCACTAAATGGCACGTCTCGCAGCAGACAAGCTCTTGCGCCCTAGACCAATTGCAATCCAAGAAAAAAAAAAATTCATGAAGGAACCAAATGGTCAAGTCATACAGAGTAAATATAGTGCGAAAAAAAGAAAAAAAAAAAAAAAAAAAAAAAAGGATTGTAAAAAAACTAACTTTGTACAGTCCGAAAAGTCCTAGCTCCTTGACCACAGCCCAAGCTCGGACCTTTGAGCCCCCGGCTATCTCACCGGCCACCTGCAATCTAATTTTAACGATCTCGAGGGGATTGGTGAAGATAACTTGAGACGCACCAGCCGATGCCCCCGAGAGGATTTCGGCATAGAGCTGAATGCTGCCCTTCTTGTCCATGAACTTGTCACGCACGAAGTCATTGACCGTGAGTTTAATGGCCTTCTCTGGCGCTACGCCCATCAATTGCGGCACTAGACCTCTGTACAGGCCAAAGAAACCTTCGTGACGGATGACCTGGAGAAACAATGTTCATGGTTTGACATTCACAGGTCGAGAAAGATTTTTACTTTCAATCATCTTGTAGCGTATACTGTTGTTAGGAAAATCTTTTCTTTTCAAATATTGCGATGGTACCACTTCTTTTTCAGATGCTTAAGCTCATTGTGAGGTAAAAATTATTATTATTCTTGGTTTTTATAATTAGACAATTATTTTAACTTACACAGCATACTAAAGATCTTTTGAAATTGAAATGATACATATTAAACCTATAAGGAAAAAAAATAACTCAACAAAAAAAAATATTCATAATCGATACTTTTCAATAAAAATTAACATTTTCTAAAAGATTCGATTGATTTTTGATAAAATTGGAGTCAGACAAGCTAACATAATAAAGAATCAAAGTGTTGTTATACTATTGCATAATAACATTGTATAATAGTGTATGATATCGCTTGTAATAATTTTTAGATGTTAGAAAAAGACTCTACAGGGAATAAATTTAATAAAATTAAAAAAAAAAGATAATTTTTTAATTTGCTACTCCAAGTATCAGCTACTCATATAAAAATACATGTGTAAAATAAAGTTTAAAATCACAAGAATAATATTGTTGAACTAACTTTTTTGCAACAATCGAAGCTGTTTTTGTACATGAGCTCACCGATGAAGGAACCCGTGCGCTGGTTCTGCATGCGCGTCTTGACCAAATCGATTGGATAGACCGCAGTAGCACCGACAGCTGGAAAAAAAAAAATAATACCATTAGTTGAAGGATTGTATTTTGAGCCCTACTGTTATTAACGAGCTACAAACGAAGCGTACGAACCTCCGGCAACGGAACCAAGGGCGAACCGATACCCGCTTTCTAAAATTTGCACGACGACTCCTCTTTCTTCCGGACTCTAAAGAGAAATTTATTTTTTACTCACATACAATTAGTTTTAACCTTGTGAAGTCTTAGCGAGGAGAAACTTACCGATACAGCTTTGATTTCTGCTAGTCGGTTGGTGATCTGTTTGAAATACTGCTCAGGTGTAATGGCAATCAGGTCATTGTAAATGATTTTTCTGTTGTAGGGCAGATTGAAGAAAAAAATTTGACGATTCAGCTTTTAAATCTTATCATCTTTAAATATTTAGGCTTTACTGAGGGAGTGATCGCAACTCAGTTGGGTAGAAGCTAATCTGAGGTACAGCTGCTCTGAAGAGGTGAGGATTTAATTTCTAGTTGAGGTCAACTTTTCAAAAGATGAATTTTACGGGGATTTGTTCGTAAGTGTCGCAGATGGCTCGGAAAGATTTAGTATGGTTGAGCAAGTTGGGATGATAAGTATATGAGTTCAGTTGGGTAATATAGGATCAACACCCTCCACACAGAGATGGTGGAGGATGGCTATAAAAATCACTAAAGTGATGTGCATAAGTAAAAAAAATATAATAAGAAAATAAGTAAAAATATTATTTATCCAAATACCAAGGGATCAACTGATAAACAAGAATATTCGGTTTCATAAGAGTAATTTCTTACGAGAATATTATTATACAATGGTAGTATAATAATAACGAGAATATTAAAATATTGTTAGAATGTGCGTTGATTTTAAAAGCGTGAAATACAGTAAGCCTTATAATGAAATCCGATTATCTTACAAGAAAGTATTTATCTTAAAAAAATTTTCGTCTCATGGAAATTTTGGAAAACGCTCATAGAAAAGCCTTTGGCAGTTCACAATATCTACATACAAATATTTAAATAGACATAAATATTACATAGATGCGGTGCATAAAAATTACGATACACTTATTGCAATGCATGAATGAAAATTAACAAAGCACAAGTAAATCATCACAACTTGAATCGAAAAAAATTGTTTCACTCCTCTTCGGTTAAATATTTTTTTTGTCAATCAAGAAAACATTTTATGCGATTAAATTGAAAATTTATTTATTTAATTTATCAAAATTTGTTTCCAACTAGTTTAGTATTATTTTAATTGAAAAATTATTTAACAGAATAAAAGTAAATACATTTTTTTTTTGTATTCAAAGAATTGAATTGCTTAGTGCTACGCAGTGATGTATGTTATGGCGACAACGTGTGTCGTAGACAGTGAAATACGATGAACGACAATCAATCAACAACGAAGCCGACTATACAATTGAAAGTTTTATATACTGACTGATAATAATATAAAAACCTGTGTGTAAACTAGCAAAAAGTTAAGGAGACGCACCCAAAAACGACCGGCTCCAACTCTTGGCTCGCGCTGATGCGATCCCGTAAGCATAGCAGCGAGAACAACGTCAAACAGATTTAATGCTCGCGTTAACTCGCATCTATCTTTTTTAAATTCACACTATTATTGAGAATCAAATTATCATGACAAAGTTTGTCGATGATTTTTTTTTTTTTTTTTCTTCTCAATTTTAATACAACATCGTGGGAAGTGGGATCGAAAAAATATGGATCAACTAATTCTACACTTTCCGTGTATAGGTTTCAATTATACCATTGTTTGAATCCCACTTGAAAAACCTTCACACTGAGATTATAAGTATCATCTGCTTACCCAGTATGATGCAAAAGATCGCAAAGGTGGAAGAGAATGTCGACCTCCAGTGGCGTTATTTGAGACATCATTTGCGCGGAGTGCAAAAACTCCTCTGGAAAAAGATGTTTGTGAAATTTTCAATAAATACAAACATCATTATATTCGTTTTAAAAATAACAGAACCAGTAATGACCTTTTGTGACCTCCTGATACCTGTGTCCATTGGTCGCGTTCAGGTAGATTCGCTTGATGAGCTCCATGTTATGCAACAGCGAGTTAAAGGCCATGAAGTACGGAAAACTGACTTTTCTCCCCGTCTGCCCGACGTTTATCGCCTACAACAGAACCAAAGAGATGAATAGCATTGAATTCATCGAAAAACGCGAACTAAACCCACCGACAAAAGATTATCCCTGACGTCCTTCGTCAGCAGGTGGCTCTTGATGCTGAGCATGATGTCGTGGAAGTCTGCTACCGAGATGAAACCCGTGCCATCCTTGTCGAATTTTTTGAAGGCCTCTGTCGCGTACTCTTCGTGAAAGTCCTACGAAGCAAAGAAATTTTTTTTAAGTTGGTCACAAAAACTTTACCCAAACACACCGTAAAAAACGAAGAAAAAAAAAAANAGTATTTATCTTAAAAAAATTTTCGTCTCATGGAAATTTTGGAAAACGCTCATAGAAAAGCCTTTGGCAGTTCACAATATCTACATACAAATATTTAAATAGACATAAATATTACATAGATGCGGTGCATAAAAATTACGATACACTTATTGCAATGCATGAATGAAAATTAACAAAGCACAAGTAAATCATCACAACTTGAATCGAAAAAAATTGTTTCACTCCTCTTCGGTTAAATATTTTTTTTGTCAATCAAGAAAACATTTTATGCGATTAAATTGAAAATTTATTTATTTAATTTATCAAAATTTGTTTCCAACTAGTTTAGTATTATTTTAATTGAAAAATTATTTAACAGAATAAAAGTAAATACATTTTTTTTTTGTATTCAAAGAATTGAATTGCTTAGTGCTACGCAGTGATGTATGTTATGGCGACAACGTGTGTCGTAGACAGTGAAATACGATGAACGACAATCAATCAACAACGAAGCCGACTATACAATTGAAAGTTTTATATACTGACTGATAATAATATAAAAACCTGTGTGTAAACTAGCAAAAAGTTAAGGAGACGCACCCAAAAACGACCGGCTCCAACTCTTGGCTCGCGCTGATGCGATCCCGTAAGCATAGCAGCGAGAACAACGTCAAACAGATTTAATGCTCGCGTTAACTCGCATCTATCTTTTTTAAATTCACACTATTATTGAGAATCAAATTATCATGACAAAGTTTGTCGATGATTTTTTTTTTTTTTTTTCTTCTCAATTTTAATACAACATCGTGGGAAGTGGGATCGAAAAAATATGGATCAACTAATTCTACACTTTCCGTGTATAGGTTTCAATTATACCATTGTTTGAATCCCACTTGAAAAACCTTCACACTGAGATTATAAGTATCATCTGCTTACCCAGTATGATGCAAAAGATCGCAAAGGTGGAAGAGAATGTCGACCTCCAGTGGCGTTATTTGAGACATCATTTGCGCGGAGTGCAAAAACTCCTCTGGAAAAAGATGTTTGTGAAATTTTCAATAAATACAAACATCATTATATTCGTTTTAAAAATAACAGAACCAGTAATGACCTTTTGTGACCTCCTGATACCTGTGTCCATTGGTCGCGTTCAGGTAGATTCGCTTGATGAGCTCCATGTTATGCAACAGCGAGTTAAAGGCCATGAAGTACGGAAAACTGACTTTTCTCCCCGTCTGCCCGACGTTTATCGCCTACAACAGAACCAAAGAGATGAATAGCATTGAATTCATCGAAAAACGCGAACTAAACCCACCGACAAAAGATTATCCCTGACGTCCTTCGTCAGCAGGTGGCTCTTGATGCTGAGCATGATGTCGTGGAAGTCTGCTACCGAGATGAAACCCGTGCCATCCTTGTCGAATTTTTTGAAGGCCTCTGTCGCGTACTCTTCGTGAAAGTCCTACGAAGCAAAGAAATTTTTTTTAAGTTGGTCACAAAAACTTTACCCAAACACACCGTAAAAAACGAAGAAAAAAAAAAAAAAAAAAAAAAAAAGCTCAGCACGTACGTGAAGAAACTGGCTGAACTCCGCATAGTTGATCAGTCTCTTCTTGTCCTTGCCGAAGTAGAGCTCGATGAAGCCGCTGTTCATGTTGAAGGGCATCTTTTGGTGCAGCACAGTTTTACGCATCACCTCAGCGAACTCGTCTGCGGACATAAAGGTCGTGACCGATTTTTCTAGCGAGTGCTTGAAGTAATGCTGACTCCAGAAAATTATATCGAGGAGCTATTCACTTTTACACGAGGAATTTAAGTGATTCAAGATTTTACATGATAAAATTTTTAAATATATTTTTTTTCTATTCTCAAACCAATTGAAACAAAAAATATTTACGAGATATTCGAGCTATTTTATTAATTAGAAAATAAAAACTATTGTAACTAAGCTTTAAAATAAATGAATGATTTTTTTTTTCAATATCGTTAAAAATAGAGGCCAATTCATTTTTATTTTTTAACATTCACAATCGAGACTTGATCCTTCTATACAAGTTAGGTTAAAAATAATTTTTCACTCGTTGTGTACTTGAATTTTCAATTCAGAATTGAATTGATTTGATGAGATTTGAGAAACCATTGTATTATATTTTAATTCATAATAAATGATTTCATATGATTTTAATTGATCTGCACTTACCAAATGCAACCATCCCGTTTCCGTTAGTGTCGAAGAGCTGGAAGGCCGTCTTGTAGAGAGCATCGGGCACGCAGAGCAGGCCCTCAAAGGCTTGGAACTCCGAAAAGGAAATGAATCTGCCAAAAAAGTGTTGAGTAGGTACATAGCCCCATTGGGTTTAACTCCAAATTTCAAAAATTAGGGGAGGGGCTCACCCATCTTTGTCGGTATCAACGATCCCTGCGAGAAGGGCGACCGACTCGGGGTTGTAGCCCGGGTCGATGTAGAGGCCGAGGTAGCTGCGTACGAAGTCATTAGAGGTCATGAACCGTTCTCCATTCTTCTCTTGTGTGGCATACTGTGGATTTGGGGAATCGTTGAGGATTTTATTTTATTTTATTTTTTTTTTTTCAATCATCTCAAATATGTGTACACGTATACGTTTGGTTAACGTGAAAACTCCCTCGCTGTGCGTACGAGGTAACGATACTCCGTACTTTGACGCGGGCACCAATAAAATCGTTACCGAGAATAAGTAGTTGCGCCGGTGATTTTTCAATGTTACAAACACACGAGTGTGTAAATATGCCCGTCTCCCCTATACATTGAGTTATTTCAAGTATATATTATAATAAACACCCACACGCGTGTAATTAGTGGAGGCATGTTACATATTTTGCACGTCCGTGCAGATAAACAAAGTAGGTTACGCGACAAGAGGAGGTATACGGTTTAATAGATCGTCCAATTTGTTTGCCAAGGCTCAAAAATGCGGTGAACGCGGAGTGATAATAACGTACGTGACAAAATTTATGGAGGAACGAACTCGTTTGGTGAAATAAGAAAAATAACTCGTTGCGTATGGTTGACTGAAAACCGGTTTCTATGCGAAACGGACCGGGCAATGATGTCAAAAAGAGCAACAAAAGGCGGATCAATTTTTTCAGGGGGAAACAAAAAAATCGACCCCAAAGCCTAGAAACCCAGTAAATGAGAGACCAAATCGCGTCAAATATCGACACGCGTGAAAATGTTTACCGATCACTCGCTACATGGATATTATTACATACACGCGTCGTGCAACGCTGCGCACATGGACTCCTTATTGAGTGCCACATGTGTACACCAACGTAATATATGTAGCTCCTACGACGAAGATAATTATTGCGCGTTTTGCAAGCGCCGGGATGTAGCGCTCGTACTTTATGTTATAGATATACACGCATCGATCGGAAAAAACGAGGTTGTATCTCTTGTTCTGTGCTCGTTCGCTCTTTTTTTTTTTTTTTTTTTTTTTTTTTTTTTTTTTTTTTTTTTTTTTTTTTTTTTTTT